GAAAGGCACTCGGAGGTAGCAGGAGGTAGAGCAAGTTGTTTGGAGCAGAGCACTGCAAGGGCGAGACCAGTGACCAGAGAGTTGTGCAAAAGCAAATGAGCCATTTTTATCTTACTTTTTCTCATGGAACTATGAACCAGCTCTTCAGAAAGCAGTAGATATATTCTGGATTTAGACAGGAGTAAGGGAGATAACAATCTGACTTTGGTGCTTAAAAAGCTTTTTCTGAGAGTTGTTCAGGTCAGATTTCCTGCAGCTTTATACTGCCAGGATAAAACAGATTTTCAGATACCTCCTGTTGAATATAAAACACTTTCATTTAAAGTGTCCTTAAATAAGAGCGTGCTCGCTAAATAAAAGAGAGGTGAAATGCAAGAGCCTGTTGCTGAGTAAAGCAGGAAAGGGCTTCACAGTGAGATTTGATTGTTTACATTCAATGAAAGGAAAAGTCTGATTTGGAGTGCTCAGATTTAATCTCAGTGCAGATTAAAATGGTTCTATTGTGTTCTGCCAGGCTGTTTGGAAAGGTGAACTGAGGCTTTCGTAGGACTGTACCACTGCAGTGTACACATGAGATTTACATGCAATCACGTCGGACAGTCATACAGAAGGGCCAAGCTGAAGCTTTCTAGCATAAGCCATGCTAACCTTGTCTTTCACATTTTGAATTTCTACCTGGTGCTGTAAACAACTCTGAACTCTTGGTAGGTCTGTTTGGTCATTTCCTGAGTTTCCTGTTTCTGCTGCCTGCAAGTCGGTTATACTGCACTATGGCTGTGTGAGGGTTTTTGGGAGAATCTGCAGCAGGTTATTGCTGGAACASTTGATACGCCTCCCCTGCAGTGCAATTAGGCAGCGCTCCCAGCCTCCAGCAGAAATAGACTGCACAGGGAGAGCGGAGGTGCCTCGCCCTTAAGGACARCCAGAAACACATGCTGAGCTAGTGCAACTAGCTCAAAAACAGAAGGACTCGGATCTGATTCCTGACAAAACAGAAATGAGCTTGGTTACTGCGCTTCCATTGCAATTTTGTGCATATAAATGACAAAAAGAGAGGCGTTGGAGCATGAGAGGGAGAGAGCTGTATCATTCAGCAACCCAGCACACCCAGCAGACTCTTGGGGGAGAGGCAGCTTGTTAACTACTCAATTGCTAGATAGCAGATCACTGTTTACCATGAATTATCTGCACTGTGAAGTTTATTCGGGGAAGGACAAGTTAACCTAGGGCAGTATGTTATGATCCTTTCCACTGCTGGAAACAATGTCTGCTTTCTGAGATCAAAGCAACAAGCTAGGAGCTTTTAAGTTCTGCCCCTGGTTCAGATGGCCCTTTTCACCTCTCGGAGCAAGAATTTTAGGTCTCTTTTAACTTAAACAAAGGGTTTATCTCTTCGCACCGTGAGGATCTCAGCATGCAGAACACCGAACTATTACAAAAATGCTTTGAAAATGAAAGCAAAATAAAATGGTGCAGCAGCACCTGTGTGCTTATTGGCAGATTAAAGGCAGTCAGATACAATGGCAGAGGGGCAAGATAGACAGACAAAACGTTAAGAAGTGATCTTCTTTCACACGTGTGATCAGCCAGCCCTCCGATGACCAGAAACTGTTTAGCATGCTGTGAAAAGATAATTGTATACTCTCAAGGCTTGTATTTTCTCAGACAAAGCATGTGACTCCCTTGGCTGCATCCTCCTTGGCTGTCTCTGATGCCAGGCAGGTGAACCCTCTGTGATGCTGCCAGCCAAAGTTCAATTTATTTCACAGCAGTGGGCGCAGACCAGAGCAGGGCTCTTCTTTGAACATTCTTTGGGTTGTAAAGCTTTTTCATGCCTMGAGTTCCTTATGTAGTTATGTATGTATTTGTTTATTTGTTTATTTTTGTCATAGAACACGGCACTGTGAATTCTTTCAGTGCCTTTATGGTTCTATCTAGAACACATGGGCAAAAACAGCTGCTTCAGAGAGAACTAGGGCTGTCCTTGGAGTCTAGGACATGATGCACATYAGTGACCAATCAACCTTCTCTCAATGGTGACAAAGTAAAGAGAAAGAAGACTATTGTCTTTTTTCTGACATCTTCCTCAAAATAACCTTTAGAAGAAGTAACCAGGACAGGAAACAGTGCAATTCAAAATTCTCAGATTTTACACTGGTGGAAATGCATTCAGTAATTGACAGAGAAGTGAGTGGCAGATTTACAGGGAAAGCCCAGCCCAAAGTGAACCTGAATGGTAAAATTTGAACAAAAGAATCTGAAAAATGCACAAGCCTGAACCATTATTAGCTGTATGGGCAAAGGCAACACCTGCAACCACAGGAGGATCTAATTTAAGAATCTGAAGCTTTCAGTTCTAGTCAGTGTTCATCAGGTACTCAGGAGCATTTGTTTTTTCATTTTAGCTCAGCTGTGATCTTCCAGGATGGTGCATGGGTCAGGTCTGCACAGCACCCCGGGTTTCCCTTGCCTTTGCATCCCACCAGGAGAGGTCACATCAAGCAAGACCTCACAAAGACAACTGAARCACCAAGAGCCCAGGCCTGATTGAATCCAACAGAGGGGCAGATGCAGGGCCAAGAGGATTTCTCCCGAGTATCTGCCAGTGGCTTGGGTCAACAATAAAATCATTGAAGTGGGGAGGGAGGATCCWCACAGCTGCTGGGCTGACTCAGTCCATAATGAGCATTCCCTGCCCTTTTTATAAGCTTGTCTGATCTTCAGCCCAGCACAAAGAAGTTCCTTGCACATTTTACCCCAGCTGTACATTTCTGTCCTGTTTTGGTTCTCTTTTCTTGTGTGCTGTGACGATACAAACACACCTCTCAGGCAGTTTCACATCAAGTGAAATCTGAGGGAAATATAYAATAAACCTATATTTGTCAAAAGGCTTTTAGACCCTTTGAAACCCACTGCATATTGATTAGGAGGGAGGCTCCTATAGATGAAATGGCAGCTGATGCTCCAAGTAGCCTAAGATCAGTGGTAAAATTGTGACCTCAGTCAGCTAGATGGAAGCTAGAAGGAAGTCCCCACAATTGGGAGAGAAAGGAAAGCTAGAAGGAAGGCAGAATTTCTCTTCATTAGTCCTAGATTTTCCTTGGGCAATTTTTTTATTCCTTTTGCTCATAAGGATTGATTCTCACAACGTCTCTGTGGCATCTATGAATCTTTGTCTGTCCCTGATATTTCCAGCTGTGTTAATGTGGGAAGTTCCTGGGGAAAGTCCCTTGTGCTTGTGCTTTGAACAGTCCTGGGTTGTGGAAAGGAGCCATGAAAAAAACAAAAACATGACAAATTTTCCCTTTCATGMAGATTGGGTTTTTTATACTCTCTCCCAAGTTGGGTGGTTTTTTTTTTGGTTTTTTTTTTTACCTTGCCTTCCTTATTTTATTTTGTTCTAAATGGCAAAATATTGACACATTTACGCACATGTYTTGTTAGATCCAAGTGTTTGCTGCTGCTAGCCACATTCCTCCCTTCCCATTGAGGGATAACACCCACTTCCATGCTCTTCCTGCATCTGGAAACCCCCACAGATGTTTGCTTTGGAAAACCACACTCTATTCCAGCAGCAGAATGCCTGTAGCTACTTTGAGAATCATTTATTAAAGTAACCTGGGAATGCAGCACACGTTGAGAGCAGTGCAGAATCAGGGAAATTAACCTCTGCGGGGATGTAAATGCTTTCATTATGATGAAACAGATTCTGAGTCAATTTTTTCTGAATGCTGTTGTGCTTTTGCGTCCTCAAAAAATAACATTTTTTGCCTCATGGTGACTTAAAAAAAAAAAAAAAAAAAAGCAACAAAAAATGCTCCAGGTTGTTCAAGTTGCATTTAAAATTTTGGAAAATGCAGCCGGAGCCCTGATTTCTTAGTATGCAAAGTCAACCTAAAGGCATCAAAATGCAAGTATGGACATCTAASAGTGGGCAAGAGATACTGTGCTGAAGTTATTGGGCCGGTGTAATTCTGGTCAATAATTATTTGACACAGTTCTGAACCAGAAGCCCTATCAGCTCTCCCACCCTTCCCTTTGCTCTTGAGGGCCTCCATCCCCTTCCTTCCCAGTGCTGTTTTGTGTTGAAGGCCAGAGTGAATCTTCCTTCCTGGATTGACGTTGGTTGGCCAGTACATCAGCGATCTCAGAAAAGCAGGATAAGTCACAGTATTCTCACTTGTTGGGTTGAACTCCCACAAGGATCTCTCACATATTTTGGTACCATCAAAACAGAACATAAGCCTTGAAATTATTCTGAGTCCTGAGTCCCAAGACAGATGTAGGATCTTAACAGACAACAGTCGAACTGGAAATGAAAAACGGCTCAAAAWTCTCAATTACAATATGTATCACAGAATGCTGCAAAAATGAACTCTGGTAATTGGATTGCTTAATCACACAGCCCAGAGAGGATAATTTTGCTTTGGAGATAAACACAAGGTGGCATGGGATCTGAGGAGTTCAGACATCTGCACGTAATGAAAAGCGGTCACAAACAACCAAAGTTGTGTTTTCTGTTTTGTTAAAAATTCTGCATTTCTCTGTTCATTTTTTTACCTAGTTTATAAAAAGGTGATAATGTCTATCTCAACATTATAATTTTAGAGCCGAAGCCCTTTTAATTGTTTGTCAAGAAGATTGGGTAACATGAAAAAATGCTTCRCACATCTAATCTCTGACAGGCTAGGCAAGCAAACAGCAAAGCCAGGAGGAACTTGCATGGTTTAGAGCCTCTGCTTCACAGTGAAAGGTGGTGAGCACAGAAATATTTGTCCACAACTCCAATACGCAACGTGCAGAATTAACTGTAGGAATGCAAAGATCTCTTCTTTTGGTGAGTCATGTCTGAGTATTTTTACCTGGGGTAAAAAAACATACCTGGGGTATGATTGCTGTTACAAAACCCAGTCATAATAAAGTTTCAGTACTGCCAAGTACCACCAGGGAAGCAGACACTCAAAGGAGGCACACAGAGAAAGCAGATTTGTTTATTCTGTGTGTAATTTCATCCTTTTRTTAGTGTTCTATAAAATACAGCATTTCTGTTGAAAGAAGAGAAAGACAGTGTTACAACTTACATTATAATGGAATCGGTTTACTTTGAAATAAAGTGTGTGACGCTGTACAAAAACATATGGTTTATTTATCTCAGTGATACCACAGCCATACGTAGAGTTCCAGAAGTATTGAAGTATTGTAATCTTCTGTAGTATCATGGTAGTCATTTGCGTTATTATATTCTACCAAAAAAAATAATGTATAAAGATACAYTGTAATTGCACTGTTGACATATCTGCTTTGGAATCAGTCCCTGCTCTGGAAAGCAATTTAAAATCAAATGGGAGGGGAAAGAATTATTTTATCTTCCATTTTGCTCATGGACATGAGTTGATTTGGCTCCTAATCYAGAACTCAGTGACTCAAGGACAGCCCTTCCCAGCGACTTGTTGGAGGTCATCCAAGGAACTTGTCACAGTATTCAACCAAAGCCCACATGTGCACTGGAAAAAAGGAGCTTGAAAGGAAAGGAGGAAGGAGAAAGGCACACTTGACATACTATATATTCTGCAAACTCCAGAACATCTCATGCTCACAAAATAGAAGTTTCATATTGCATTAAGTTTGTAAAAAGCTGTCAGGGTTCAAGTCAAGGCTTGTATGTAAAAACCCTCTTTTCCCTTAATGTTGCAGCCTCTCCCATTATCAGATGAACAAACAGATTATGATGTTTGAAGCAGGATCTGCACAAAACATTTTTAGATTTAATGTCTTCTCTCCTGGTCATGTCTGATCATGAATTTCAAGTACATACATTGCAGTATAACATCTCAGGCAGACACATGCRCAAGAGGAAATTCAGACTTTCTCATGTGGAAAGACCCTGTGCCAAGAAAATGCAGAAAAGTTTGTTGTTYATATTCTTATTTTTCTTTCTCTGCAAGAAGATATCCTTTATTTGCAGGATAATTGAACCTACTTTGTAAATCACCAAAACTGTGCTGCAGAAGATTAGCAAATCACATGACCTGATTCAACCTGCAAAGCTCAAGGAAAGAATTCCTCTGARGTGAGAAATAGGAAAAAATCTATGCCTTTAATATTAGACAGCTGAGACTTGATGGTCCTCTTACGAAAAATCAGTAATGTCAAAAAATTGCACAGATTAATTTTTTTGCTTCCATATAGTCATTAAATGGTCGAGTTCTAGATTAGAGAATATCTATAAATAAACTGCTATTAAAACAGCTGGCAACTTTGCCATTGCACTCTGAGTGCATGGCTTCTTTTACTCTGTGATATTGCTTGCAACTCTAAGTAACATACAGCAGCTTATTCAAGGAGGAGAGATTCAAGGTARTGTTGACCAAAAGAAAAATAAATTTCACAACACCTAGGAGGGATCAAATTGAAACTAGAATTGAGAAATTGCACTTCAGATTGGCCAGAAAATTRGATTGGAAAAGGTTTATATCAATGCTCAGGGAATTAAAATATTTAATCCTTGACTGGTAGAATTCTTATTTCTCCTACACTTCCATCTCATTTTTAGAGATTGAGAGTTCCTGTAAAAAACTTACAGGTACTGCTGTAAGAGCAGGTGTAATAAATTAGAATCCCATTGAAAACAAGATGATCAAGACCAGTTAGTATTCACTCAATTATAATAGAGTATTGGAATAAATTGATTAGCTGATAAAAGAAAAAGGGCATTTTAATTACAATTAATAGATGCAGGGATTTTAAAACTCAATACCATAGTGAAGAGCTAGTCTGATCCTTGAAAGTGCTAATTAAAGATTTTAGTGAGATGTTTTCTCTGTCATGTTTGTACCACTTGAATGAGACACAGCGCATTTATTCAGAATGCAGTAGTCAGCATCTTAGTGTACTTTATATAATATATAAAGCAAATATATAAATATATATATACATATACATTTATATATTTTATATAAAAATATACATCTATATTTTTTATATATATATATATATATATATATATATATAAAACTAGCAATTTAGGCTCAAAAAAAACCCCCAAGTTGCTGCTATTCTGGTCCTTCCATCACAATGAAGCAAAAGCTTAAAGGATTCAAAAATATTTAAAGCCCTCTCCTGGCTAGTGACAATACCCTAAATTCCATTATAGATCATAAAACATACTTAGTAAATGCATTTATACTTGCAAAAAATGGAAAAAAAAAAACCCAATGCAAGCATTTATACTTTCAGTTTAAAGGGAATGAGGAGACTCATTCTGTGAGTAAAACTGTGGCAGATAATCAGATAATTTTTCTCTGTTTGCTTATTGTACCTTCATCAGATTTCHAAGCCTAACCCTAGATCTGGATCAAAGGTATAGTGGGGGTCCAAGGCAATAGTTTGTTTGTATGTTCCAAAAATCAGCAATATGTCTCACGCAGATTTCAAATTTGAGGACCTAATTGGGAAATATGCAGAAATTTATAAATGGAAAATACTTGCAATGCATATGAACWGCTTTATAATTTAATGTCTGCAGCCATGATAATCTTGGGTTTGGGTCCTGAGCTGAAACCTCTCTGGAATTTGCAGTCTCAAATGATTCTTGGTTTATTTATCCCTTATTTGGTCACATTGTTTTTTTTGCTACTTGATATAGAGTCATAGAGCAATCAGCTACTTACTTTTCAATACGAGCAGGGGGGTAAGTTTGGATCTGAACATTGCATTGTGAACTAATATTTCTTCATGTCATAAATGCCCAGAATTGACTATAACATTTATTTTCAGCTGGAAGCCTTACTGTCTGTAGTAAGTTGTCTGCTGGCTACATGAAGAGGGAAATGGGATAGGAAAGGCAAATTCATYTAACTGTGTGACCCTCTACATGGTATTTGTAATGGAGTTCAGRCATGCATTAGAAAAGGCTTGATGTTCCCTACCCTGAGGAAGTGATGACCACTGCTCTAGAACCATCAGAGTAACAAAACTAAAACTAATTTCACTGTAGCAGAAAGTCAATAAATAAATGTGTAGAGGTGGAAATGTCTTTCACTGCAATTTATGCTTTCTCAGAAACCTCTGACTTGAGGTAATACCACTTTTAGAATTCAGCTCCCACATATTCAAAATTGGTGTGTTGATGCTGATGTGCCTTAGCCTTAATTACACTGGAGAAAAGTGAACTAATAATTGCTTTAATTCAGAGGCTCCACACCCAAAAGACTCTCAGGCTCCACCGCCATCATAAATACTTGTAATGAGGAACTTGTGCTGTAACTTTTGTTTACACAAGCTTACTACTACTGTGTCAGAGCCTGCCCCTGCTTCCATTGAAATCAATGGGAATTTTGCCGTTCCCTCTAATGAAAGAAGCCCCTAGCACCCTGTTACACTTGATGATGATGGATCACTACTCCTTCCTCGCAAGAACAATAGTGTAGCAACYATGCCAACAAATATGCATGTGCTTGGTTGTAAGCACCTGAATAGTCTCATTGGTTCCAGTGGAATGGCATAAATTCTTGAAGTCAAATGCCCTCTCTGTTCTAATCTAGCCRACCACTGGAGTCCTCCTGTCAATTAGCACATCTTTCATTAGGATACATATGAACTTGGCATAATTGAGATGCTATCAGCAAGCATGGCTGGTCTGGCTTAATACTGCAAGTCCTGCCACTGTTTATGCAAAAAATAAAAATACAAACATAATAAATTTGTAGGACAACTAGGTTTATGTTTTGGGGCTTTTACAGTAGAAAAGGAAAGATAGTGGTGTGTATATGGAATGTAAGGCTGGATGGAAGTGCAAYGTATTGGGTCATCTCACCAAATATAGGAAACATGTTATCCAAGATGGTGACTCATGCAGTGAGTAATATAGTGTAAAGGGTATATTCTGCCCTGTGAACAGACATAACTCTCAATAGCTAATAATCCTATAAATACAAAAGGGGCTTATCTAGCTGGAGGTGTCTGCAGCCCTGTGAGCTTGCAGATGGCACAGGGCCACAGGTGTCAGCTCCTTGTCACCAGGTTACCCCTGCTTGTCCCAGGAAARCAGTGCTTCACTGACAAGCAGCTGCAGAGCCCGAGGTAGAGCTTCCCTTGTATGATGTGACAGGAGGCTTGATGCCACTGGTTACTGTACTCAGCTCCACAACTCTCCTTGAGTTGTGGCAATAACTAGAATCTTGATTACAAAGCTAGTCTGAAAATGGTCTCTCTGCTTAAGAAATCTCGTCTGCTTGGCGTGGAGGGCTTCGATTTCCTTGCCATATTTGGAGAGGAGCCATGTGTTTGTCACTGTCATTGCAGATGGTGCTGGATTCAGACTTTGTTGGTACTCGTTTTTAAGTGAAGCTTCTCACTGAGGAAAGCAGACTTTTAAATACCCATTAACGAACACCAAACTTCCACACATTACTGATGGACCTACCAGAAACTAGTCTAGGTGCTTGGGGGAGGGACGACTTGTGTTGTTGTCATGTCATACGGTAGGCAATGAACAGGAATATTTTTTCCTTTTGAAATACAGAATATCTATAGCCCCAGTTCTGGATGGGTAGAATAGTAAAAGTTCGTGTGCAGCCTTGGTTGGCAGGTAGGAGTGAAGAAAATCTTCTAGTGTAGAGCTTTGTACTCTCCCTGAGCTATAGAATACACTGATGTAATTTTCTTCTGGGCCAAAAGTGTTCAGAAATTATAGCAGTCCTGTAAAAAACGGTGGAATTGATGTGATCAGATTTCAGCCACAATTCTGAGTAAAACAAGGCATGTGTTCACACAATCCCTAAATACACACTTCTCTGGAGCTGCTTCTCAGTCCTACCTCAGTAGCCTTTGAACCCAACTTGAGAAAACGGTGAATGTGTCCAGAAAGTCCTGCAAGTCCTGTGAAATTAGTCTTTGGGCAGAGAGGGGAAAAGAGGCTTATTACTGCTTCAACTGTAAGCTTTTGTGAGACATCTGGAAAGTTCCATGAGAGAGACATGCTCATCCCTACTGCTGGAAAAGGTCCATGGAGGAGCGTAGCCTCTGGAAAGCCACTGGTCTGCAGAGCTTATTTCTTTGTTCACCCCTTAGCTTTGCTTTACAAGACCACAGCCAGATTTCTCCAACACAACGCCCAGCCTTGAATTGGGAAATAATTTGGTCAGGGGAGGTTCCCAGGAGGAGCCATGAATGAGCTCTTCTGATCAGGCATAGTTCCTCATCCCTTCAACACTTTCCCAAAGACACGGAACCGTCACTGTCCACATGCTCTATCCAAGGTCAAGCAATGCATATATTAATTTTTTTCAAGAACTTTAAAAAACCCCTACAACACACTCAGAATAACAATAGTTTCTTAGGGACCCCATCCAGAAGTAGATGGTSGTATAGAGTGACTTCGCTTTACCTGTCCTCAGGACCAGGAATCAATTACTGTCTCCTTTTATTCAGCAATATAGACTTATACACCAAAACCAAGCCCTTGTTTTCTCTGTTTGTTTGGTTTCTACAGAAGACTTTCATGTTAACACCAGCAACATCACTCTGCTTGTGGAGAAACATCTTGCCAATCTTGGCCTCTCAGCAGCTGTCCATTTTCAAGGTTTATTGTCTGTGGAAGGAGCTAGAAGATTCCAAATGCCACAATTAAGTCCATGCTGAAGGAGCCCCTCTCAGCTCAAGAAGATGTGCCAGGACCCGCTGAGTGCCTTTCAGCTCAACCCCTTATTCAGAGTTAGCATCAAGCATTCCCAGGMGTCCCTGCTTTGCACACAGTACAAGTAATTTGATCAAATAAATGCRATGTTGGGCAATAATTGGAGAGTTAATTGAAACCCTTTCCTGCCTGTGTTCTCCCCAGTGTGCAGTGTGTTGAGAGCCATCTTGAGCCTGTGACATGCTGCTGCTTGGGAGCCTCAGCTGAACTGGTGATGCAGCTGCAGTGCCCCAGAAGGGATAACTGGCCAGCTCTCATTCTGGCTGTTTTGGGGAGCAACAATGCCTGGGAAGGTGGGTTTTGGTGTTKGTTTTAAATTCCCAAGGAGTTAAAAGCTCCCTTCAAGCATTAGCGAGAACGTTGATTATAAACCCACAATTTTCTGTAATTGGGCCTCATTAATAAATTCCTCAAGTGTTCCCAAAGGCAGGAGAGGTAAAACAGGAGCCGCAGGGATCAGAGAAACAGGGAACTATGAGGATTCCTGTGTGTATTGTTAATTCCACTTAATCAGCTCAGAGAAGCTCTGTATTCAAAAGAAAATAACCATGACTCACAAAATACTCCTGCCAGCAGGGGATAAGATTCTCTCCATTTATAGTAATATTTTCCCCAATTTTTGTCTTTTCTTCCACTTCAGTTTTAAGTAAAGAAAACTATCCTCCCTCTGGCACCCTGAGCACCTTCCATGTTCCTGGGCCTCAGTGAAGATTGGAAGAGCTGTGCTCCAAGGGAAAGACTAGCGTGGATCCCTCAGAGCTTCTGGAAGACCTRTTCTGCAATCCAAATGTGCCAGAGGGTTTTTCCATCAGATCCAGACCAAACAGAGTGTGAAGCAGAGGCATAATGAGGCAGATACAAGATTTATTGCTGTTTGAAGAGGACTCAGATACTAGCAAACTTCGAGACAGAGCAAGCCCCATTCCCCACTCTACACTGCTTGCCACAGAAGGTAGACAAGTCAAACAGAGAYAAAACAAATTACAGGGATAATAATTCAGGTCATGAGAAAAGCAGGGATTATAAAGGATGAGAAGGCAGGAGGGTTTGTTRAGAGAATGGAGCTTTCTGAAGGTGGCATGAAAAGAACACCTGAAGGGGCAGATTCCCCAGCACTGTATGGAGTGCCTAAAGTGCTGGAAGGTAGAATGAGTGTCAAGAAAGGAAATGGAAAGCTTTTGAGAAAAAAGGCAGGGAAGACAAAATATTTGGTGAGAGAAGGTTTGCACTGGATTGCCAAGATGCCTATGAATTTGGGATCATAAGAGTGTGCGAGCAGATGAAAAGAAATGGAGTTTGTGAAGCCATCAGAGCCATTGCTCAGGCAGAGCAGAAACCTTATCTCTGCACTCCTCCTTACCCTTCCTTCTCAAAACTGAATGTGAAGATACTGGGTACTGCTCTGTCCTGTATGGCCTCAAGGGATGCCTGAGTATCACACGACCACAGAATCATTTAGGTTGGAAAAAGCATTTGACATCATAGGGTCCAACCTTTGACTGATCACCACCTTGTCATTTAGGTCAAAGCACAAAGTGCCATTTCTAGTTTGCTGACCATCTCCAGGGACAGTCACTCCACCACCTCCCTGGGAAGCTCATTCCAATGTTTGACAATCTTTTCCATGAAGCAATGCTTCCTGATGTACAACATGTACTCTCCCTAGCATGTTTTGAGGCTTTGTGCTCTTGTTCTGTCACTGGTTAGGTGAGAGAAGAGACCAACCCCCACCTGGCCATGGCCTCCTCTCAGGCAGTTCAGAGAGCMATGAGGTCACTCTGAGCCTCCTTTTCTCCAGGCTGAACACCCCCAGCTCCCTCAGCTGCTCCTCACAGGATTTGTGCTCCAGACCCTTCCCCAGCTCCGTTGCCTTCTCTGGACTCGCTGCAGCCCCTCAGTTCCTTCCTGCAGGGAGGGGCCCAGAACTGGACACAGCCCTCGAGGTGTGGCCTCAGCAGTGCCCAGGACAGGGGGACAATCCCTGCCCTGCTCCTGCTGGCCACACCATTGCTGATCCAGGCCAGGATGCCATTGGCCTTCTTGGCCACCTGGGCACACCCTGGCTCATGTTCAGCTGCTGTCACAGCACCCCCAGGTCCTTTCCAGCCCCTCTGTCCCAGCCTGTGGCACTGCCTGGGGTTGTTGTGAGCCAAGGGCAGGACCCGGCCCTTGGCCTTGTTGAACCTCACCCCATTGGCCTCAGCCCATGGAYCCAGCCTGTCCAGATCCCTCTGCAGAGCCTTCCTGCCCTCCAGCACATCAACACTCACACTCAACTTGGTGTTATATTCAGATATACTGAGGGTGCACTCAGTCCTTTCATCCAGGCCCTTAACAAAGATATYGAACAGTACTGGGCCCAATACAGAACTCTGGAAACACCACTCTTGACCAGGTGCCAACTGGATGTGGCACCMCTCACCATCACTGTCTGTGCCCAGCCATCCCGGCAGTTTTCACCCAACAAAGGGTGCACCAGTCCAAGCCATAAGCCATCACATTTTCCAGGAGAATGCCACTGGAGACAGTATTAAAGGATTTGCTGAAGTCAGGTAGGTTATATCCACAGGCTTTTCTTCATCCACTAGAAGTGTAACCTGGTTCATAAAAGGAGATAAAAGGTTAGTCAGGTAGGACCTGCCTTTCCTAAACCTGTACTGTCTGGGTCTGCCCTTGGTTGTCSTGTGTGCACTATGTGGTCACATCCAGGATGATCTGTTCATCATCTTGCCAGGCAGTGAGGTCAGGCTGACAGGCCTGTGGTTCCCAGGATACTCCTTCTGGCCCTTCTCGTGGTGGGTGTCACACTGGCCAACTTCCTGCTGTCTCTGTATATTTATATTTAATATACAAGATGCCTGTGTATTGCCCAATATCTGGTCACGTTTACCTAATTAAGGATCACATGCAGACGTGGCTRCATATCTGCAAGGGATCTGTGTGTGATTCATCCACTAAATATATTGCAGMAAGTCAATGGAGCACCTTGCAAGGAGGGAAATCCACCAACAACACGTGATCCATCTCTTTTGCAGCCAGCATGACTAAGGAAAATATGTGCTGGACATCAGGTCTTTTCTTTAGACRCACCACTTGAGGTTTTCCAGCATAAAAATCTTCCTCGAAACATGCGGTTTGGAACAAGCAACAGAAGGGGAAATAGATATTATAAATGAAAACAACTTCAATAACTGACCCTTATTTCTTTTTCTTTCCCTTACAGACTTTCTCCCCTTTTTGATACTTGGGAATCCTCTGGACTCAGCATCTATTTACTTTATTTTATTTTTATGAGTGTCCTTCAATGTAATGGAAGAATAAACATTTCAGTTTTCACAGCCTTGTGGCTTTTCATGGGAGCTTAGTTGCATCCACTGTGTTTACAAAACAGAACTGCGTCATTGTGTTTGTTAATTTGATGATTCTTGGATTATCCATATTTTTGGCTGCAAAACTCCCATTTAAATGTAGAGTTTGTTATGTTTTCAAAGGCCCCAAGAGGAATATCTAGATCAAAGTTTTGGAGTCAAACAGGACCAGCCAGTTTTATAGCTCTCACAATTACTAAGTTGTCAACATCTGTATACCACTGGTGGGAACTCTGTCACTGCCAGGAGCCAGCCACGCATGTCCTCTCCTGAACCCACACCAGGCTCCTCTACTCTACAAGAGAACTTCTAGCAGGCTGAAAACCCTTACCCTTGTGCAGGTGTCCCTGTGCTGAGATCAAAAGAAGAGCCATGACTGTGGCTGGGGTCAAAGGCCTTCTTCCCTATCTTAATCATGAGAGACAGAATCTTGGAGGAAGTGTCTTGACCATACAGGCATAAATCTAAACAATTCTGGAAGTGATGAATTACAGTAGCACAAATTTCAAGTCTGGGTAARCAGGAAATATGAATGTAGGACAGGCAGCACCTCCAGGTAGTGGGGATCAAGGGAATGGCAGCACTGGCACAGGAACAAAGACATGCTGGTCTGTGGTGAAGGGACAGGAGATGGATCATGGATATGGCTGGGAAAACATGGCTGGAGGTGCAGGAGGAGAGTGTTTGGGTCAGTGTGTAGCTCAGCCAGAGAAAACAAAGGACTCCTCCTCTCCAATTGCCACTTGTGCAAGTATAAGCAAAAGCACGCAAGCAGTAATGTGTATACTCTGGTTTCGAGAGAGTTAATGCCTTACAGAGGAGTTAAGATGAAGATTATGCCAGTGGATATGTGTGGCAAGATGTGTTAGGGTAAGAACTGAAGAGAGGGAGAGAGCTGTGTCTTACTCTTACTTTATGAGAGATACTGTGACCAGCAAGAATGGGGTTCCAATGGGGTTTGGTTCAGAACYCTATGCATAGAATAAGGTTCAGAACCTTATTCTGCTCTGACAGCAGCTGTGCCCTGTAGATATAATTTGTTTCAGTCCTATATAGCATAAGGCAAAACTGGAAGATTTCCACAGACTTTCAGCAGGTCCTTTACCTACAGCTAGGGACAAAATCATGCCACCTGCACAACCAGGGAGTAATGATAGATGCTTAAATGCATAGTCCGGAGAAAATAGCTTATTTTAAATGCTATGGAATTTGCTGGCAGAGAGCTGTGCCAAGATTGTGCACTTCAGAATACTGACCTCAGCAAAACTTAAAACTTCTGAAAACCAGGACACATGCTAAGCATACTAGCTCTGTCCCCTTTGAGCAATGCCCCAGCCTGTCCATTCTGCAAGTTCTGCCTTTGCACCATTGCCGAGCTCCTGGCCCATTACCCGGGAAGCAAAGAGAGGAGAGCTGTTCCTCAGTGAGTGGTACCATCCTCATCTGTCCCATCCTCATCTGTCCCATCCTCATGTATTGAACCAACTTCCCTTAAACAACATCAAACCTATTCATTTTATAACCCATATCTCCTTATGGAAATCAACCCAAAGCCTGTCCAAGACCATACTTTCAGTTAAATGTCTTTAACTGACACATTTCTGTTGCATACCATCTTGCTCCTGGTTCTCTCCATGACAAGAACACCTCTGTGGATCACAATGTCATAAAATCATGTCATTACACTTTAATCTTTTTCCTCTAATCACACTTACCTTAGCAGCCTGGACTTGATTCCTTCTCTCAGTTCTGCCCAGCTACTCCACAGCCATGGCTGCTGCTCAGGGCATCCCCAGCAYATATCATCAAGCACTGCAAGCCCCTTGCATCCTCCCTTCTCTGCTTCTAGAGAAAGCTTTTAGACATCTGAGAACAAAAAAACACAAAAGTGACRAGATTTAGACTATGAACTAAAGACAGTGTACACCTATCCCAGAAGCAGAAAAGGGATGGAGAAGGATGAGGGTGTATCTCCTTGACTCATGTGAATAATCCCCCTGTTGTGAGGTAAAATTGATATCTGAGTTAAGGCCTATCCACATGAAGTAGGGGTTCAGCACATTTTGAGGGTTAAGTATTTAGACTTGAACTTGTGGGTAGGTATTTCATGATCTAGAAGGGGTGTGTGAAGGCATGGCGGGGAAAGAAAAATGCCTGATGTTACCCTCCATGTGTGAATGGAGTCCTTGAGGATTTCTAGAATGGAAAGCCTTGTACAAATACCTATGACCAGAGCTGAATTAGTTGCATCAAATGGGAGGGGGGAAAAGGGGGAACACGAAAAGTGAAGCTGAATGAAAGTATGCAGTTTACCTTGAGAAAGGGTGATTAAAGGAGTCCTGCTCTCCACAAGCTCCAGCAAGTCCATGAGCTATTCCTGCCGTGTGAGACTTGTTTCCTCGCACTATTCCCCAGGCAGAGCAACTGCAGGCTGTTTGCCATCTGGACCTCTTCCTTAAGCCACAGAAGAGGTTATTTAAGTAAGGGGCAGGAGGGAAAGGCAGGAAGAAACATGATTTCCTTCATTCTAAGCAAACCTGACAGCCTGAGCTGAGGCTGCCATGAGATTAGGGCACAACCCTCCAGCCCTACTGGTGCATCCTCRCTGGGAGCGTGCGACCCTCTGCACACACAGCCACCATCAGTGAGGGAGAGACAGTGCTAACACTGAGCAGCCTGAGAGCACTGATAGCTGCCTGGCTCTTCCATCCTGTCCTCTGCTGAGAATGCATTATTGATGGTGACCACAGAGCTGAGAAACTTGCAGCTCTGTCTCGTGCATGGAGCTTTACTGGAATGTTACTGCTGGCACCGGACATCCTCCCTTCCTAGCAGGAGGGAGAGGTGGGGAGGAGAGGCACTTTCAGACCAGGCTTGCCACTGCATTGCACTTACAGCTGAATTTTTCCTTGGATTACAGACTAGGTTTTCCAGGCCCTCAGCATGCAGCCTTCAGTGCTCCCTCTTGTCCAGCCTGAGCAGAGCTCCCACCTGCAGTGTGCAGTGTCATCCCACATGGTAGAGGGACTGTCTGTCTGYCTTGGTCACTGTGCCTGCAAGGAGAGAGGGGCTGACAGTGTGTGTCATGTGGGTGCTGACATCCTGCCCAGGTCCTGGGCATGGATATGGCCTTGGGAGGCACAGATAAGAGAAGGCCTGGGATAAGAGAAACTGTGAACGGTGATCAGTGAAAGACCGTGAGAGCAGAGACCTCGCTTCAGTGGACCCACACCTGAAACTTTATTATGATGGAAAAAACCTGGCTCTCCTAGGGATCAGGAGAGGACAGTGTAAACTTTGCAGCAGCCCATGAAGCCACGGAAAATTGCTGCATCTCAWGCGTGGCTTGACTCTCTCTCTCTGCAAAATGTGGAGATGCATTTTATTCTATATCACACATAAAGTCCAGGTTTTTCCATTTAAAGACCATATTCCTGAGGTTTAAAGCGTGGTGTTCTGATAAATTCAACCCCAGGGACTGGAAACCTTTGTAGCTTTAGACATGCATAGCAGTGTGACTGCTGTACCACAAGGCTCTGGYCACTGCAATGTACCATCATATCTTGTGCTCTTCCACCTTTAGCACTGCCTAAGGACCTAAGCATTGCTGACATCCTTAGTCTCAGAAATAACCAGCAACAGAGGAAGCAGCCYCTGGCTTTTTCCAGCACGGAGCAGTGTGCTCTTTCTCTAATTGTGATGGTTTGGCATGGCAGTGCACCATTGTGCACTGCAAAAAGGCCATTCCTCACACTTCCCAAGGAACACCTTAAAAAATAAGTAAAGTTCACCTTTGTGATTCCTTTACCACCATCAAAAGTGGATCTAGTTAACAATCTGTCTATCTATTTCTCTGCTATTACAAGAAAAAATCAATTGGTATTTAACTAGGAATTGCGGAATAACAGAAACTACTACCTAGAAATTTGTTCTTCTCTTTCAAGCCAAGATTACCAATGTACTGTACAGCAAAGGCACCAAATACATAGTAAATTATGTAAGGAGATACTTAAAATGCAGAACTCAAAGAATTAAAGAAGTCATATCAAAGCATGAGATTAGTACCTGACAAGTTCAGTGTTTGCTGTAATCTGCAAGCTCTTGGTATATGTCTGTCTCTACAAAATGCTGTGATTTAAATTGAGAGATGACAGTGAAARGTAATGGGATAATGATGGAAATGTTGTCCGGGTCAGAAGGACAACTTCTAAATCAAGTTCCTGCCWTATGTGCAGGGATAATGCCTCTTCTTAAGTGTTAAAATTATTTTCTGCCTTCTGGCTTTACAGTGTTGGTTGGACATGTGGAGATGCAGTTCTCAGACTCAGCTCTTTCCCACCAGAGGCAGGTATGTGCTACACCCATCCCATTAATTAGTGCCTGCTCTGGGCCTCTTGTGGAGGAGGATTGCAGTAAGAAACAGCTCTCCATGTCATTGTGAGTGTTCCCATGAAAGTACTCTGGCTTGTTAAGACATTCAGAATCAAATATATGCCTGCCAGATAGAGGATCASCCCAGTTATAAATGAAAAATGCCTTAGATCAGAGAGTCCATCCCTGTGTTTAGGTAGGTTACAGCTCTCAGCAGAATCACATATTTCTGTTATCCTTCTTGATTTTTTTTTCAGGATGCATGCCAAGGGCTTTTATTGTCAATCCAGAAGAGKATCTACATAAGAGAAATTCCAAAACAGCATCAGGGAACAGTATGCTTTTTTTCTTCCCTCTCTTGTTATTTCCTCCATTAAACAATTCATTGACTTTATTGTTCTCGCCTGAGGCAAAGAAGCCTGGCAAATTTGAAGAGTATTTTTATTATTAGGTAAGTTTACTTGCCAAGCATACTTTCCCAAGTTCTCTGAACATCCTACTCATCAGTTGCTAACAAAGGCCTCATTCACATGAGGGCTACCAAACAGGTTTGCAGCTTGGTTTGCAGCTGGCCAAGAGAGAGAGGTCTCAGGGCCCCCACTCCGCTGCTTTGGCATCCATCATTGACCATTAAAGAGGATGCTTAAGCCTCAGCAAGGAAAGGACTCATATGAAGGAAGGCTTAAGTGGAATCTTGATGCTTTGTAACAAAATTACAGTTCCAAAATTTCCTCTTCTTAAATAAAGTTGCCTCTGTTTTTTGGCAGAACACGCCCAAGTTACATCAAACTCTTCCATTATGTGTCCAAATCTGATGCACATTGGGCAGTCCCTTCTGTATACAGCTACTAATTGTTCTTTCTCTAATTTAATAGCTCCCCAAATAGGAGATATGGGCTCATGTCCATCTTCAGGAGGTTTATTGTCTGTTTCCCATTTTCCAAGGGAGTGGCCCAAGCACCAAGGCATTGAGAGCAGGAAGATATTCTCCTACATTCTGGCTGAAGCTGGATCCAAGAGCTGAAAATAAGATTAAATCCAAGAATTTTATACAAGAGTGAGTCTGTAGAGTTTRGGAGATGAGTCTTAAACAAGACTTTTCAGAGTGAAGGAGGAAGTCCCAGTGCTGCTACCTCAGCTATGGAGGTGGGCCCTTTACCAGTAGGAGCCCTCAATTTGTCCTMTAAGGCTCTGAACTGAATTTGGGGCCCCAGGTGTGCTGCAGAGGGAGAGTGACTGCCAGGCAGCTGCAAGGCTCTGCTGGAAATCATCCTGGGGCAAGGAGTGGGTATGCTGAGGAGTGTGAGGATCTGCTCAGAAATGCTGTTTGAAGCTGAATGCAACTTGTTGATGACCTCTGCCTTGCATTTTGATGCTTTTGGTTCAAGCAGGAATTAGGTGTGAAGCGCTCAGATGTGTGTTTGTCTGTAGCTGGCACAGTCAGTTGTGAGGGGCTGCTGCTGGAGCAGTCTAGGAGAGGAGATGTGGCTGCCAGGGGATGTTCCACTGGGAGTGGAAGCAGAGAAGAGATGAAGAGGATAGCTGAACCCTCGCAAGGTGGTGAAGACTCTTCCTCTTTGCACAAGTGTGGAAGTAAAGCTGCTTGGGAATTGACATCTACTATTTGTGCATGTGTTCTCTGTTACCCGGGGGTAAGAGATCTGCATCACATTTCGGGAGTGCTGAGGGCATTGGGACTGCTCCTGGGGCACTGTGCTTGTGAGGAGTCCAAGCAAAAAAACCTCCCTGGGAACAAGAGCAGCAGGCGGTGCAGAGCCTGGCATGAGGGCAGCCACTGATTCTGTGCTGTCACACAGAAATCCTTACAACCCATATGACATTGCATTGCCGTGAGAAGGACAGTCCCAAACTTCATGACAAGAGAGAGTCCTTTTAATTCATTGTGACTGGAAGTAATTTTGCTGAGCGTTCCTATGAAAACCAGTTAGGTTTTTTTTATGTTTTCTGCCCAGGGAAAATCCAGTCTGACTGTTCAGAAAGCACGGCCTGTGCAGTCTGCCCTGTCTCTGCCCTCCTCCCTGTAAGACAGACTGTGCCTTTAATCCCACAATATATCCTTTTATCTGAATATAATGCATGGGGCAATGCGAGATGGAGCTGCTGGTAGAAGAGGTCATGAAGTTCCACTGCAGCAGCATTTTGAAAGGGAATCCTGTAAAAAAAAGGGCCCATGACATGGCTGCAGAGAAAGATCCTGCACTCTGTCAATGTCTTGGCATGGAGTTAGCAGGGAGTATGGGACTGGACACAAGCAGAGAGTGGGCTTTTTTTGGCATTGGCCACAATGAGTGTGGTTGTCCAAGGAAAGTCTGTGGGGGAGGCTGAGGGGATAGAAGAAGACAGACATGTTAAAGGAAAGCGTGTTCCTACATAATGAGACATTGTACCACATGTTTAAGAAAAAAAAAATGAGGAGAAAGAAAAAAAAATCGAGGGTGGTGAAAGGATTTCCCTAGCAAAGGGGTTGGG